GATCTTTCCCCATGCCAAATATAGCGTATCACCGCAGATTTTAAATATGTAAATAACGCTTTAGGCACTGTTTGGAAGAGATATAACAATATTGGCAGGACATTCATCTTAAGAACTGCAACATGGCCATGCCAAGATATGTATGGATATGACCACTGCTTAAGATCAGTTTGTATTTTCTGCAACAAGGGGACAAAATTACGATGATATAGGTCAGCCGGATTCACCAGAACCCATACCCCTAGGTGAGGAGAAAATGTAATTTAATTTTCTCCTCACTACCACTGGAGTGTCCTCATTAAATTAAATTGCTTTACTCTAACTTTAGTTTTCCATACACCTAGGTATTTCACTGCTCCGTTACACCACATAAATGGGAAGTGGTGTTGGATACTTATAAATTCCTCTCCAGGAATCGAAACATTTAAAACTCCATACTTTGTGAGATTCAATTTAAGGCCAGAGAGTTTTCTATGTTACAAATGCAGACATTAAGCAAGGGAGGATGATCCGTGGCTTAGTAATAAAAAAAACAAAAGGTCATCGGCATATGCAGCCACTTTATGCTCCTCACCCCTCCATTCATAACCCGAGATGTCACAGTTATGACGAATCACTATCAAAGTTTCAAGTGAGATTGCGAACAGTAAGGGTGAGAGAGAGCATTCCGTGTAAAAAAAAAAAAATCAAATAAAGCCCCCTATCTGGAGAATTTCCAAACGGAGGTGGTCAGTACGAGTGGTTACCATCCCCACTGGGCATTAACCCTACTACTAATGTATGAAACAAATTAGAGAAAATCTCTCTTGAGAAATCCCTCTTGGGTATAAAGGGATAATTGGTTGAAAAATTAAACTTATCAAACAACATATAACCATAGACGAGGAGAAGGATAACTATATAAACAAAAGAAATTGGTAGTAATTATGTATGTGATGGGTAAACCAACCGGCTTTATTGATTTTACCAAAGTGTATTACCCATACCTAGTGCCATTTATAAAAGCATAGAAAAAGTCTATTGCTTATTATCCTAATAATATATTAAACATGTAATCTCTCAGGTTACCAATATCTATATAATATGAGTCAGTTTACTGAAAAGAGCCCCCTATAATATAGTCCTTGTTGGACCTTAAAAAGGTGGGCTTATATCGACAGACATTAGATTAGAAAAGACATAGCAGGGAGAGACTCGCTAAAATCTTAAAAAGTAAGAATAGGAGAAAAGGAAATTAATATAGAGGGGTATAACGTGCATAGTTATAAGACCTATATCTTGACACAGGTCAAATGCAGTTGTGACAAAATATGTTGTTCCCCCAGATCAGGGCTATCCAGGGATGTATAAAAATATTATTTGTGGGGCTATGCAGTGTTTTGGGGTGTTTTCTGTGTTTTGTGAAAAATGTGTGTTTTCTGCCTCTGGGTAATTGAGTTAGTCCATTGTGTTTGTTAATTGTATCACAGGCAGAGGGGAGGGTTTGTGTACATTATCTAGGAGTGTCTATCTGTACAAACCTGTTTTGATTGGCTTTGTAACTTTGTGTCCTGTGCTCCACAAGGTCCACGTGGGTGGTAACCTTGTGGGAAAACCTGTATAAAAGAGACACTAGACCCTCAGACTGCTGAGTTCCTGTTTTACCCTCAACATAGAGCCTCGTCTCATGTGTGGGGGAAAAGGCTGCATCTACACTGGGGGATTGCTATACTCTGTATACTCCCCTGGGCTATAATCACTAAGCTCTTTCTCTAGAGGAAGAGAGGGTCACCCACTGGAACCTGGAGCCTTGTCGTAGGTCCAGGGTGGGTAGAGGACCGCGAGTTCCCAGCCATGCTGCGGCGGTTCATGGAATCTGCAATGCTTTTGGTGTCTAGTGCGGTGTTGATGGTCCTTGGTAAGCACTAGGAGCATCGATTGACGGAGGGTCCGTTACATCTGGTGGCAGTAGTGGGATGGCTCTCTAGTGCGAGGGAAAGCATCCTGGAAGACACCGTTCGTGGATTTATAAGTAGGGCAGCGCTTTTCCCCATACAGTGGCCCTGACTACAGCAAGCATGGCGCCCCTCTACACTATGGCAGAGTTTAACAATATGATGAAGCTGCTGCTGGCTTTCTACGGACCTAGGATAGATAAGAAATCCGTGCAGTTTGTGAGGAACCTAGTGATTGGGAACATGTGACACAGGTCAGAGATGGCAGGCCAGTTGGCACATTGGGAGAGACTCCAGCGGCAGATAGAGTTACAGGCAGAGGAGAGCATCGTCCTCCCTCCCCAGCGGCAATGTGAGTTACAGGGAGAGGAGAGCACCGTCCTCCCTCACAAGCGGCAGTGTGCCTTGCATGGAGAGGAGACAACCGGTCTCTCTCCCCAGTGGCAGACAGAGGCACAGGGAGAGGAGAGCATCGTCCTCCCTCCCCAGCAGCAGTGTACCTTGCAGGGAGAGGAGACAACCGGTCTCTCTCCCCGGTGGCAGACAGAGGCTCAGGGAGAGAAGAGCATCGTCCTCCCTCCCCAGCGGCAGAGTGAGTTACAGGGAGAGGAGAGCATCGTCCTCCCTCCCTCCCCAGCGGCAGTGTACCCTGCAGGGACAGGAGACAGCTGGTCCCTCTCCCCAACCACAGGGGGACAGCACCCCTAACCCCGATGGTGCTAATGGGACAGCGGTCTCTGCACCAGACCTACAGGGATGCTGGACGGCCGGTCCAGATCCCCAACCAACCCCACAGGAATGCCCGAAGGAGGCGGTAAGCGATCCCTCCTCTCGACAGCAGATCCGCACCCAGGTCTTGGGGGTAGTGCTCGCTGACCCCATCCCAGCGGAAGAGCTGACATCTGGGCAGAGCGCATTTGACCTCTGCCCTCCCCTAAACCCTTGTCCAGAGCCTGATTCCCTACAGGCTACCCCAGCAGAAGCACTGGCATCAGGGCAGAGCGCCGCTGGCCTCTGCCCTACCTGTCCCTTTGTTACAGGGCAGGACTGCACACCGGTTAACCCAGCTGAAGCGCTGGCACCAGGACAGAGTACCACTGATCTCTGCCCATAAAGTAACCTCCACTCCAAGCCAGAGAGCAACCAAGAGACTGGGAGTACCAGATATCAACCCAACCTTGGTAGACTCACTGGACAGAGACAGGCTACCAAAATCACCAGGTGCAGTAACCATTTATTGTGGGTGGGCTACTCTTTTAATTGTTCATTGTGGATGTGTTGCTCGACTAACTCAGGCACTGACTAACAGAAGGTCAGGTACCTGGTTAGTCTCCCCCCAAAAGGGAAGATATGTGATAAAAGCAATTTTGCCACTGGTTTTTGGAGAGGACTAATGGCCAGCCTTTTGCCCAAAGACTGTGGACCCTGCAAAAAGACATGCTAAAAAGTGACTTCCATGGGAAAATGTGCCTCTTCTCCTCCCCCTTTTTCCTGTCCTATTGTTATGTCACAAGTTGAATAATTGTGGAACTCAACTGCAGATTTGATTTTTTTTTATTTCTAATAGAGTGTGAAATTAAAATCCTTTAATTAAGAAAGTTACTGTAGCTTTAAGGTTGCGTGGATTTTGCAGGTTGTTAGTTGAAAGCATAAAGCAATAGCAATAGTAACAGAGATGTTGATAACAGTGTTTTAGTAGCAGAGTTTTTTAGTAAGCAGGTTACAGTTCATTAGTAATGCAAAAACCCAGAGAAGGTATTGAAATGAATACTTAGGATTGTTGGGAGTTGTCTTCCAAAGGCAGGTTAGTTTGAGCCTGGAGGTTGGTTAAACTTCTAACTTCTTGGAAATTGGAGAGAGCAGGGAAGTCAAATATTCGGTCCGTGGTCAGAGGAGATGAGAAGGCAGGAATCCGTTTAACCCCTTAAGGACACATGACATGTGTGACATGTCATGATTCCCTTTTATTCCAGAAGTTTGGTCCTTAAGGGGTTAAACAGTCCAAGGTTCGGTACACAAAACTTATCGAAGAAGAGCTTAGCCGGCAATGTGATTGTGGAAGTCACAAACAGAAATCACTAAGCAATTTTGAAACAGTTTCTCTATAAAGCTTGAGAGAGCCGCGTCAGAGAGGGGGCGGGGACAGTTCCGCATAACGGAAATGTCAGAACGGAGCCGATCGAAAAGATAAGTCCTGACAGTACCCCCCACATAAAGAGCACACTCAGGGTGCTATTACATTGGTTTCTCAGGATCTATTTCATATTCTTCTTCACCCTGCACTATGATGGGGTCAGGTTTAGACAGTTGTTCTCTATGGAATGGATCTGGGAGAAAATGCTTAAGAAGGGAAACATTAAAAATGGGATGAAGTTTAAGAGAAGAAGGGAGTTTCAACCTCATACCACTGTCGTTAATAATGGATTCAATCTGGAAAGGACCGAGAAAGAGAGAACTCAGTTTCTTTGAAGGAAGGGTTGTAGAAACATTCTTTGATGACAGCCAAACAGAGTCACCGACTTTAAAATGCGGAGGTCTCCTCTTAGTATCATAATTTTTTTTATGCATGACCATAGAATTCTCAAGGTTCTTCTTTAATTGTTTAAACAATTAAAACATTTCAGAGTTTTGAATGGAAACCATTGGGTTAGATGTTAATCTGAGTTCATCAGGAAACGAAGAGGGATGGAATCCATAATTTGAGAAGAATGGAGTCATCTTGCTGCTGGAGTGTATGGAATTGTTGTAGGCAAATTCGGCCATAGGCAACCAATTAATCCAATCATCTTGTAAATATGTACAATAACAACGAAGGTATTGTTCTAAACATTGTGTAAAATTTAATTTGTAATGGTGTTAATGTAGAATCTTCTTAATTTCTTCTTGTCTTCAGTTGATTGATATATATACGTATTTTGTATATATATTCTTGGGCCCAATGCTCGCCACAATAATATATGTCTATATTATTGAAAAGTAGTAATACGCAATCTGACTTACGGTTTCTTCAGGTTTATTCTTTGTTACGGATACATAATAAAACATAATAAAGGATGTTACAGGATAGTGGACATTCAACAGCAGATGGTAATTGCTGGACTTCTTTAAATCCTTACATCTTTACATGGAGAGAGAGAGAGCCAGAGCCAAGAGCCAAGAGCCACGAGCCAAGAGAGCTAAGAGCCAAGACCGAGAGTGACCTCGTGTCCCTCTGTTACTATAAAGATGTGTTCATACTAATGTCAGCGTTTAACTCTAGCCAAATAAGGACAAAACCCCCACATCCACATTCCAGAGCTCTCGGACAAAAAAAGCCCTGTGACTTACTGATACCATCTGTTACTTATGTCAATCCACACATTCATATATATAATCAATAGAAACATAGAATATACAATATTCTACATTCCCTCTGTTTATGGTTTGTCTTAAAACCATAACACAATGTCACTAACCTGTCCATTCATACATCACTTGTATCACATTCATTGAGCATAGAACAAGATGTAGTCACAACTTTCTATTATATGAGAGTTCTTAGAAGGTCGAGTTTCTATCCCTCATACTGCTTACTTTACTTAAAAACTCCCTCTGTTTCAGCTATGTATTGATATCCATATCCATGTTACATCCTAACTACCTGAACATAATATAAATATATATAACAATAATAAATGAATAAAATAAAATATTTACAAATGTTGATCCAATAAACAATAAAGCAATCAGAAAGATCTACCTGCTCTGGTACAGTCGTATCTTTGTAGATAACAAAATCAAGATGATAACTTTCTAAATAATAATAACTGTGTTTCACTATCATATTCCTACAGACACATATAACAAAGTATTTTCATTCTCAATACCTGATATTACTTTAGTAAATGTATTGCTTGTATATCCCGTCCAATTATATTTCCATGAATAATATGGTTTCTAGCAACTTTGTCATTTGTATTCATGCATTACATTCCTATACCATTAATACCACCTAGTGATGATTGTATCAGTACTTTACAATCATAGTATTTAATTTGTATATTCAGTAGGCTCTAACTACCTAAAATATATCAACACTACTTATAAGTCTCATTCAAAGGATGTGTTATCAACCATGAAGTTCTACAATAATTCTTCAAATAATGTTCATGGTGTTGACAATACTTATTGTTCTAGAAATTCTCCACCCATACATCTTTCTATCATAGATTTGTTTTTGTTTACATAATTATAATTTTGACTACTATTCTACCTTGTAGTAACAAACTTTTCATTCAATATAAACATAGTTTACTTTAAAATAACTTGGAAAGAACAATTTAAATTCATTATAATCCCTCTCTTCATTAGCATTGTGATGACTTATTAGTGTAATACATCTTAAAAGCAGGATTGTCCTAATGTTCTGACCAATCCGTATTCCTTAGTACACTTCAACTGACTAAAATAAAATAAAATAAACAAACTCAGGGAAATCATAAAACAGTGTATTCATTGGATATCACCATATCCAGAAACCTATTCTCCCTAGTCTATACCTTTTATAGACTTAGGTCAAATATAATTGTGTACTATACTCTTAACTAAACTCAATTCAATTCCTCTTGGATCTCTGAACTCTTATATCCAAGGCATTCTTAATGTATACCATTACTTAATATTAATCAATATTAATATCCTTCCTTAGTTTTCTTCTTTATGTTACCATTGTTTGTTTTACTTCACCTCGATATAAACAAATTACTCATTCTTGTGAATCTATGAAATATTATTGCACTCAATCTTTGTAGTATTAAGTAACCATGATCCATATTTTATCTACCTCTGATACTTCTCATCCTATGTATAGGTAATAATGTAATAGTTATTTTCATAATACTATCCTTTCATAATTGTACTCCATGTGTTACACATTTATAAGTACTCTCTTTTGGTATTAATACTCATAACTGTTAAATAACTTTTCATTGTCTGTTTTCTTCTTCGTTAATATTTAGGAATCAATATGTATGTTAGTGTCAATCTTTTATTTCTTTGTAAGTCTGTTAATCTTCTGTATCGAATGAACTCTGTAGAATCTTCCATCACAGTTTGCAGATCAGGTGAAAAGTCTCTTTCCAACAGTGGATGTCCAGTTGTCTGAAGGAATGCTTTCCTGATTTATTGCCACAAGGATCTGTCACGCTTTACCTACATTAAAACAAAAAAACATGTGCAGCATCAATACAATGGCTTACAATGTTTATATTTCATTATTATTATACAGTTTAACATTGAATTACATGGACTACACAAAACATACTCATATCTTCTCATGAGATCTACCATCTAGTGGTCATTGCATTTATGCCATGTGATGTATAATCTTTAAATTTCCTTTATATTAAAATCTTTCTGGACATTTTAATTTTCCAAACTTTTTATTAATCATACCCCCCTTTTAAACTCTTTAATAATCTGGAGGTACAACCTAATCACATGTCAGATATTACAAGAAAATATTGTTTTCCACTATACTTTAACAATAGCAGCCATCTTGTCTTAACACTGGCACCATTTTGTCACATGAAACAAACTACAAAAATATATATTGTTTCCTACATCAAATGTATTGGTAAATCTAGGTTTTATTCTATCCAGACTTTTGTCTCATATATAATCAAAACATATGTATGTCCAGGCTTTGCAAAATATAGTAATCCATTATCAGTCATGACATTAAAATCTCATTCTCATGAATTAAATCAAAGATTTTAAATCAACCTCAGAAGCAACAAGGAATAAATCTATTGTTTTTTCCTTCTGTAAAATGATTGGAGTTACTGTATAATCGCATACACCCAATATAACATACACTGCATGTTCCTAACTACTACATTAGTGTATTTCATTCTGCCATATTTGCAAACTTGATGTAAATTTTTATTTTAATTAATTAACCTAATACTTTCTTATAACACACATAAAAAACAATGAAAAAACAGTTCAGACTAACAATTAATTAAAACAACAAACTGACATAGATCTCTATTCTTGTGTGCTGTCCTTAATTCTGGAATCAGCCTGTGTACATCTGTTGGCACACATATCCATGCTCATTCCCTAAACTGATCATATCTCTTGAAGTTATCTGATTCTTATAACTTTCTGTGTTACACTGCATTGCTTGTCTGTCTCCTAATTTCGATTTAGCTAAAATTGCTCTTATTTGTCTGATTATCAGTTTACAAGGAAAGGCTTTAATTGATTTATCTCCACATGTATTTTCTCTGTCAAAATTTTAAATCAACAAATTTAATTTCTCATTTGCTTTTGATTTGATATCTCGGATAAAATATCTGCAAGACCTTAGATAATGTTGTTTATTGCACCAAAAACAAACAACTTTAGGAGTTATATTCTGCATTTTATTTGAGCAAATTGGGGGTAGCTCAGCTGTCTGTATCACTCTTTCACACCGAGTCCAGGAAGGAGAAGGAGGGGGACAAGGAGTGTCCAATCTGCACTTCTTTCTCTGCCTAATTCCACAAGTAATTCTAACCCCTTCATTATTGGTTTCCCTCCTTAAGTTATCCAAGAACAAAGCTACTTCTGTCAAAGTGCTTTTTTCTCTAGCTAACACAATTGCAGTTGGATCTAGATCTTGAATTTTTTTCACAAATTCATTAATTAACCGATCTTCAGAAAAATCAGCAACAAGTCTATATGCACTTTCAAATTTTACAAGAAAACTAAATATATCCTCCCCCTTGTGTGGTTTTAGTTTTTCCAACATTTCAGTGTCTGCAAAATCATTCCCTGTTGTTAATTTTATTAATTGTGTTAATCTGTCTTGCTTATTTCCATATATTATTTTATCATTGTCCTCACAGAGGGGGTCTGCAGTGCTGGGGGATAGGATGGCTAGAAGGTTGGAGGAGATTTTAAACTAGTAGTAGGGGGGGAGGGTCATAGCAATCTACAAAATGGAGATAGGACAAAAAGGAGATGGGCTTTAGCACAGTATAAGGGGGTGGAAACGGGGGGGAGTGGCAAGCTCAGAACAGAGAAGCTGTGTAATGTTGAAAATTCACAAAATATACAAGTGACGCATAATATTAAATGTATGCTTACTAATGCAAGGAGCCTAAATAATAAAATGGGGGAACTAGAGGCATTAGCATACACTAAACAATGATATAATAGGCATAACTGAAACATGGTGGGATGAGACACATGACTGGGCAGCTAACTTAAATGGGTACATGTTATTTAGGAAGGATAGGAAAAACAAGAAATGTTTGTATGTCAAACATGATTTAAAGCCAAATGTTAAGCAAATGGAATGTGAGGAGGATAATGTGGAACCTTTATGGGTAAATATCTGCTTGGAGGAAAAGAAGGGAAACCAACTATTGGTTGGGATATGTTATAAACCACCTAATGTTAATATTGACGAGGAACAACAGCTGTTTGAGCAAATTGAGAAAGCTGCAAATCTGGGTAACACTTTAATTATTGGAGATTTTAATTACCCGGATATAAATTGGGACAGAGGGACTAGTGCCTCAGCAAAGGGAATTAGGTTTTTATGTTTCAAATATGTTTATTGTCAGCAATATAAACACGGGTGTTGAACTTGGTATCATTCATGCATATAGTTGCCTACGCAGAGGCGTGCACATTGAAAGTGTATATAATGTGAGGCCGACATATTCCAGTTAACTCAGAGTAACACATAGTTGCCTGCGCAGAGGCGTATAAGTCAAAATAAACACGCAATGACAAATATTAGACATTTATAAGCCTTGCAGGGCTAGACATGCAAAAGGTGGTGAGCTTGCTTGGTATTGCGTTGTTAGGGCGTTGTTGTCAGGTATGTAGTGGCTATTTGGGGTGGCAGTTAGTATCATGTGTTCAGCTATCGGCTCATTAAATGGTGTTAGTGTGGTTCGTTAATAATACACTGTTTTCTTCTGAGATGCCTGTGTTTGCGTATTTATCCCTGTTGCCGTAAACTGCAGTGAAGGCCCATCTTGCGAAAATGAGTTGGTGTTTACGCGTTCTGGTCTTTTGTCTGTATCCCTGAGTTCTAGTGTGTCTCGTGGCTACCTGCTCGTGCATATTGGGGTTGTATTTGTTTTGTATGTTTCGTGTCCTTCCCCTCTGCTGGTGATGGTGAAACCTTCTGCGGTAAGTCTGTGTCCCCTCTATTGCGTGTTTCCATGGTTATGTCTATGTAGCGTTGCTTTATTCTGGAGCTCTGTGTGTCTGCCTCTATTGTTGCGTCTTTGTGGTTCCGGTTTGTGTGTCTGAGTCACTGTC